ACGACTTCAATCATCCTTCTACTGAACATAATCGGGTGATCAGCGTATCCTAATTCAGTTTACTGAAAAGGATGTCAACAAGGTGGCCCCCAGCATTAATGGTTGTCTTGAAAGAGACGAGCAGTGATGCTGAAAATTTCACTGATACTCATTTAATCTTTGGCAAGGGAGACATGTCGGTTTTGCGAATGTTTTTCCGATATCTTCACACTTGGCAGAAATAATGCTGAGAGTTGAAACGGCGCAATTTAATAGGATTAATTGCAACGTTTACTGATAGGGGTAACGGTCTTTTGTATTAGGCCACGTAACCGTTGATAATAGGCACGACTCTCAAGGGTTGTGTCGACTCGCGAATTAAGAACGTGTGGCCCACGCGCCCCTATTCCTTTTGGTTTCCAACGGTCGCTATTGAATCCAGGGCTTAGTATAAATAGGAATTCTTCTCTTGAGATCTACTTTACTTTCATCTTCTTCTCGCAATCGTCTTTCTTGCTTTCCTTGTGAATTAATCGCCTCTCAATTGTACTCAAAGCATCCCAGATCTACGAACTACTTCATGTGGTAAGAATTTCTCATTGTATTTTGTTTATTTACTCTGACCTTTCTTTCTTTAACTCAACATTATGAGTGTATCGTGGGCGTCTTCTGGTGACGACGAACTGGATGTGATGATGATCAACATGGTTCACTCTGGGGAATTAGAATTGTTGTCTGAGTATAAACCGGTGGGACCCAGTATTTTTCGAACGGTTGAAGATCCGGCTAAACGATAGCAAGGGGGACAAAGTCGTAGAGAAAAACGCCATCGATGACTCAAGATTCTGGAGGCGACCTATTAGGAGATGGTCGGACCCCGAACTTACATCCCATGGTGAACCGAGTATCCTCACTGATGCCGACGTCGTTATGTTGCGGAGTGAAATCCGAGTCCCTACGTCGGTACATTTGTTTGCTCCATACCCAGGTGAGAGGATCACATGTCCTCCACCCAACTGCGTCGGTGTGTTCGCTGAGAGTCTGAGATCGGGATTGCGATTCCCTTTGTCGCGCATAATCACTGAATATTTTCGGGACTGGGAGTTTCCGATATGCCAAATCGCTCCAAATTCATGGAAGCGAATTATTGGACTGCTGGTGCTCTTTGCCGAAAAGAATTGGGATTTACCGTCGGCGAAGGACATGAGAAGCATGTTCACATTTCGGAAGAGCCCGGACAGACAAGTGTCGGACCCACTTCACACTTTCTCCATTGTCGGTAAACCCCAACCAAGAGTCAAAGTCGGCGAGTTAATAATGGAGGTCCCCGACACATTACATGGCTTCCAAGAGGAATGGTTGTGGGTCGGTCGGGATTGACAGTGCCCCGACTTCGCTAATGACCTTCTTACTGATGGGACAAGTATCCCAATGGCTATTAAATCTGGTTATTGTAAGTTGTTCACCATTTTCTTCATTTTGATTATTAATATCTTGTTTTTTGTTTTCGCTAACAGGTGGACTTTTGTGACCTTGTAGCAAAACCAACGGGAAAGAAAGAACCCAAGTTCGAAGGCTTGTTGTACGATCGAGTGGACAAGTTGTTCGAAGTTTCCCATAATAAGCGACGATATCAACGGCTTGTGAAGGATTCCCGATTAGAGTTGGCTGGTTTATCTCCCGGGATACTTGACTCTTCATTTTTACCAGGTAATTTCTTCGCTTGCCTCGTGGCATCGTTCGCATTGACGAAGTCGGTCTAACTTTGAATTTATTGTAACAGTCTATTATCCATTACTGGGATACTTCGGTTTCGGAGATCCCGTAGAAGCAGAAGAACACCGGAGACGTAATCCGAATTTCGACTTAAAGAACAAAGTCGGGAAAAACAAAAATCTCCGATCAACAGAGATGGCCGGGCGCATGAACCTTCTGAAGTCAAGGAAGAAAAACCCCAATCGTTCTCAAAGTGCTGCCGGTGAACCATCGTCCACAAGAGTGGAACCGGCACCGGCGATCGTAAGTGAGCCGTTGGTTACCGACGTCCCGCCACTTGATTTCTCTCCAATCCAACAAGTAATGACGTCGGTAGAGGAGCCCAGCTTGGAGACCGACATCACGCGGGAGGTGTCGGAAGAGCCGCTTCTTAATGTGGTTCAACGGTGTAAGAGATCCAGCGTATCGCATGTAGCCGAGAGGATGAAGAAAAAACCAAATACCGGCGCCGGTAAAGACAAAGAGGAGGAGGAACCTGAAATCATCTTGAGGGACTCCTTTCTCAAAGTTAACGAGAAGAAGGCGGCGGAGCTGACGTTGCCGGAAGGGGTGTTTGACCCTTGGTTTTCGATGTTCCAGACAGTCGCCGAGCCCAAAGTTACGATTAACCACCGGGTCCCTACTGAAGCGGTAAAGGCGGCGAAGGTCCCCTTAATGTTGTGGGACCTGAAAACTCACGCTGGGATTGCGTCTTTGCCCGATGACCAAAAATTCAGTTACGCCCGGGGTTGTTTAGGACGGGCACTGGTTAGCTTCATTGCTGCCGAAGAGAGTTATCGGGGCAGGGCGCAGGAACTTGACGAGAAGCAACATGAGCTGAGCTTGAAGGAAGGCGCCATAGCATCTCTAGAAGACGAGAAGTCTCACTATGATGCGATCTTGTCGGAGAAAGATGCCCAATTGCAAGCGGCGCAAACCGAGGTGAGCGCTCTTAAAACCGAGAAGGAAAATTATTGATGGCCCATGACCTTACATCGGTTCAGCTGGCCAAAGTTGCCGAGGTGGCCAAGGAGAAAGACGAGCAGCTCACGAAGTTGAAGGCTGAACTCCAGGCTGTTCGCAAGGACCGGTCTGTTAAGGACGCTGAACTGATACGATGTCATGAGGCTCATGAGACTGCTATGAGTAAACTCCATCAAGAAATGGCAGCCGCCGCTGAGCTCAAATTCCAGGAGGGTATCGAAGTCGGCAAGAAATCGGTGGCTGAATCCGACAACGCATTAAGTGCGGACATAGTGACGGAGTGGGACTTGGAGTTGAACGCCGCCTTGACCTTGCGCTGGGTGATCGACAGGGTGGAAAGCGGCGTGTACACCATAGATGAGCTGCGTATCTTCCTCCTTCATAAGATGGAGAAGCATGGTCTTAATCCTGAGATGAAGAGTGCTCATATTCCGGCCGACCAGGATGAAAGAGACTTCGCCGACCGACTTCTAAAACAGAAGGAAAGTCGGATGCTAGAATTGGACATGGTACCCTTGTCGGAGGAGCGCAAGACAAAAATCCGCCGGTCATTTGTCGACATGGTCCTCGAAGTGGAAAAGGCCAAGAAGCCTGAAATGGCTAATATATGTGTGGAGACGATTGCCGAGGCCTTTGTTACAGAGACATTCGAAGGCTTGTCTGATGAGGAGCTCTTGAGCGCAATTATCAGCTTTGCCTTACGCAAGGTGGCGGAGGATGACGCCAAGGCTAAAGGATGGGTGACTGACCCAGTTCCTTCTGACAACGATCGCGTTTTGCATGAAGATGATGACGTTGTCGTGATTAAAGAAAGTGATGTCGACCGAGCAATGGAAGAGAAGGAAGAGGACGTAATTCAGCGCTTAAGCCAGAGATTAATAGAGCATATGGATGCTGTTGATAAGGGCAAGGCTGGAGCCGGAATTCCTCAATCTGGAGGAGCATCGTCATCGGGAACCAAAGAAACTTAATGTTTTTTATTTAGTTTGTCGTTTGTTTATTTGTTTTTCTTGGAATGTAATGACAATATTTAGTTTTGGAATGAAATATTAATGTTTAATGATTGCAATATTCTTTATGAATGCTTCAATGTGACTTATCATTGTAACAAGTCAAAATATATCGGAAAAGATGAATAAGTGCTTGTCAGATCAAGATTTCCGACATGATATTAGTGTATTAATTTATACGAACTATTGACGTCGATGTAATCTTACAGTATTTCCGACATCAATAACTTTATCAAAACAAGTTACAACAAACTTGCTTTTATTGGAAGCATTTATTGCAAAAGTCCTTGAATGTCTCAAAGAACTTAAAAATTTTATTGTCAGCTCATCAAATCGGCGTCGGGATTTGATATTAAAGAGCATAAGCCTCCCTAAACCATCTTCAGGGCTTGGAAGTATCCGGCTTTGTCGCGTTTGGCTAGGTCATACCATCTTCAGGGTATGAAACACGTTTAGCCTTAGCAACGAGGACCGATTTATTGTGGTCCGAGCGATCGAACAAATTATAGAGGTTCGTCATACAAACTTTATTGATAGCAAAATATGGTTCTTGTACAGGAGTAGGACAAAAACTTTTTACATGTCAAGAATAGGACTTTGATCTTCAAGCTCACTGATAGTACTTCTTCAGATGAGTTGTATGCCAGGGATATTGAAGAGGAACACCGTCTAAAGTTTCAAGTCGGTAGGTGCCATTAGAAATCGGATGATTTATTTTAAAAGGTCCTTTCCACTTCGGTTGTAACGGGCCGACATTGGCCCCAGTGATTCTTTTCAGCACAAGGTCTCCTTTGACAAATGAGCGTGGCTTGAGTCTTGAGTTGATGTACTTTTCACTACGTCGTTTATAAGCGGCATTTCGAATTTCAGCATCAGCCCGTAGCTCATCGACCAAATCGAGATTGGCTCTCAAGTTTGCCGAATTGGTTCCTTCAGAGAAGTGAGTGACCCGATATGTTGGAGAAGCCAGTTCAATCGGTATTACAGCTTCAGTCCCGTATGCCAATGAAA